GCAACAGCAACAGCAACAGCAACAGCAACAGCAACAACAGCAACAGCAACAACAACAGCAACAACAACAACAATAACAGCAACAACAACAAACAACAAACAAACAAACAAAAACAAACAAACACAACCAAACAAACAAACAAACAAACAACCAATCAAACAAACAAACACAAACACAAACAAACAAACAATCAAACAATCAATCAAACAAACAAACAAACAAGCAAACAAACAAACAAACAACAACAGCAACAGCAACAGCAACAGCAACAACAACAACAACCACAACAACCACACCAACCACAAGAACCACAACAACCACAACAACCACAACGACCACAACCACCACAACCACCACCACCACAACCACAACCACAACCACAACCAGAACAACAGCAACAGCAACAGCAACAGCAACAGCAACAGCAACAGCAACGGCAATAGCAACAACAAGAACACCAACAACAACAACACCAACAACAACAACAACAAACAACAAACAAACAAACAAGCAAACAACCAAACAAACAAACAAACAACCAAACAATCAAACAAACAAACAAACAAACAACAACATCAGCAACAGCAACAGCAACAGCAACAACAACAACCACAACAACCACAACAACCACAACAACCACAACAACCACAACCACCACAACCACCACCACCACAACCACAACCACAACCACAACCAGAACAACAGCAACAGCAACAGCAACAGCAACGGCAACAGCAACAGCAGCAACAGCAACGAACAGCAACAACAGCAACAACAACAACACCAACACCACCAACAACAAAACACCAACAACACCAACAACAACCACAACATCAACGCCACCAACAACACCCAACACCACCACCCACGTCAACAACATCAACTCCACCAACAACACCAACATTATCAACAACAACAACGCACCAACAACACCAACAACACCAACAACAAGAACACCAACAACACCAAAACCACCAGCAACACCGCCGCCACCGACAACGACACCAACAACACACCAACAACAGCAACAGCCACCAATCAACAACTGCAACAACCAATAACCAACAACGAACAACAAACAACCAACCAACCAAACAACCAACAACCAAGAACCAACAGCCAACAACCAACAACCATCTACCAACAACCAACAAACCAACAAACCAACATCCAACAAACCAACGAACCAACAAACCAACAAAGCAGCAACCGACAATCAACAACCAACCAACAACCAACAACCAACAACCAACAAACAAACAACCAACAAACAAACAACAAACAACAAACAACAAACAACAAACAACAAACAACAAACAATAAACAACAAACAACAAACAACAAACAACAAATAACAAACAACAAACAACAAACAACAAACAACAAACAACAACCAACAACAAATAACAACAAACAACAACAACAACGTGGTGGTTGTTGTTGTTGTTGTTGTTGTTGCTGTTTGTTGTCGTTGTTTTTTTGTTGTTTGTTGTTGTTTGTTGTTTGTTGTTGGTTGTTTATTTTTATTGTTATTATTTATATTATAATACAAAGGAATAGCACCAGCAACAGCAACAGCAACAGCAATAGCACCAGCACCAGCAGCAACAGCAACGAACAGCAACAACAGCAACAACAACAACACCAACACCACCAACAACAACACACCAACAACAACATCAACGCCACCAACAACACCCAACACCACCACCCACACCAACAACACCAACACCACCGCCCACGCCAACAACATCAACTCCACCAACAACACCAACATTATCAACAACAACAACGCACCAACAACAACACCAACAACAAGAACACCAACAACACCAAAACCACCAGCAACACCACCGCCACCGACAACGATACCAACAACACACCAACAACAGCAACAGCCACCAATCAACAACTGCAACAACCAATAACCAACAACCAACAACGAACAACCAACAACCAACAACCAACAACAACCAACAACGACCGAACAACGACCGAACAACGACCGAACAACCAACAACCAACCAACCAAACAACCAACAACCAAGAGCCAAGAACCAACAGCCAACAGCCAACAACCATCTACCAACAACCAACAAACCAACAAACCAACAACCAACAAACCGACGAACCAACAAACCAGCAACCGACAATCAGCAACCAACCACCAACCAACAACCAACAAACAAACAAACAACAAACAACCAACAAACAATAAACAACAAACAACAATCAACAAACAACAAACAACAAACAACAAACAACCAACAACCAACAACCACAACGACAACGGCAACAAGAACAACGACGACGACAACAACAAGAAGAACAACAACACCAACAACAACCGACGCACAAACACGCGCTCACACACAAACACACACACATACCTACACACACACGCACAAACACAAACACAAACGCGAAAGCAAACGCACAAACACAAACACAAAATTCAAACGCACGCACAAGCGCACACACACACACAGGCGCACGCAAATAAACACGCACGCGCGCCCACACACACACACGCAGACCACACACATGCACATGCACACATGCACACATGCACACACACACACACACACACACACGCACGCACGCACACACGCACGCGCGCACGCGCACGCGCACGCGCACGCGCACGCACACGCACACGCGCACGCACACACGCACACACGCACACGCACACACGCACACACGCACACGCGCACACACACGCACACACGCACACATGCACACACACACACAACCCCACACACAACCACACACACAACCACACACACAACCACACACAACCACACACAAAAACACACATACACAACCACAGACACAACCACACACACAACCACACAACACAACATAACAACACACAACATAACAACACACAACAACACACAACAACACACAACAACACACAACAACACACAACAACACACAACAACACACAACAACACACAACAACACACAACAACACAACAACACACAACAACACACAACACACAACAACACACAACAACACAACAACACACAACAACACACAACACCACACAACACCATACAACAACATACAACAACACAACAACACGCAACAACACACAACAACAGACAACAACACACAACAACACACAACAACACACAACAGCACACAACAACACACCACAACGCCACAGCACACACACACACACACGCACGCGCAGCAGGCGCAGCACGCACACACACACACACACATACAGATGTTCGGCACGAAAACAACATTTTAAAAAGCATGTTATCATATGAACGAGGGATCTAAACCCCACCGGATCAACACACCAACAGGTAAGTACTGAGATGGGCGCTAGCAGTGGCTGCGCACCGAGGCCAGCAAGCCTTGCTCTGGCAGCCTAGATGGCCTTGTGGTCGAGCCAACTGTTCCCGAGCTGCCGCTGTGAGGCGGTTGCCAGACAGCCCCAGGAGCTGTCAAAGTGAACAGGGTGTGCCAAAGTTATACCCTGTCGGCTCGTTTTTTCTGTGGGCAGACGGCCCAGCAGTAGCTGTGGGCCAAAGGCCAAATTTGGATTTCGCAGTCCTGTGCGGCTTTAAGATCTCGTTAGAAGGCTGTCTCACGGACTCCACAGCCTTTTAGCGCAAAATCTTTTGTTTTCCAACTACGTCACCGGCATTCGCAACACTCCTTATCCGCGGGCGTGTTCCGGGAGACCACTTGAAACGATTTTCAGGGCATGCCAAGCCCAGGGGCTCAAGCAGGTGGGGGGGCGGGGGGTTGGTTTCAAGTTGGATGGCAGGGCACCAACTAATGCTGTCCGCCGGGGCACGGAGGCAAAAGCCGGCGCTGGAGGAGTCGTGATGCCGGATGAGTTGTGAATTTCTTAAGCGCATTGAAGACCGAGTGTTGGCTTCCCCAAATGCTATGCCATTTTGTGGCAGGAGTTGGTGGCAACCATGGCGGTGTCTTTGTTTTCGTTTCAACTGCTGTCGTTCCAGACTTACCAGATTCTGTGGTGCGTTTTGTGGATGGTAGCAAACTGTACATGCTTGGTGTAGTATCTAAGAGCAACCATGGGCTTGCGGCACACAGGCGGCGCACCCAGCCCAGAATGTCAACCCCTGTGTCAATCCTGGACCTTTGCGAACACTTGGGGAAGCGCACTGCTTGGCTTTTACCACTAAATTTGACTGCTTCAAGCCACGCTCTTTTGATCCACTCACGGTGAATCAAGGAAGCATCGCTTATGGCCAATGGCCCAGTCCATTCCAAGCGTGTGACTTTTATGTTGTAGAAATGCCTTGTTCACGCAGACCTGGATTGTGTTTGCCTAAGTTTGCTTTCTGCAAATGGCCCGAGCGGCTAGAGCGTGGTTTTTGATTTAGTGCCACGGCAGCTGTCTCATAACCTGCCGAGAATGTAGGCGCTCCAGCCCAAAGGTGCAGGACACGGAACAGTCCGCCTGATGGATGCAGAGAGCTTCTTTTTTTGCCCCGCTAGGCACATGGAGCGTTTCCCAGTGAGTCACGTAGCACTAGAAGATGTTTTCACGAGATGGGTAGGGGAAGCAAGCACATGTGCTGGCAAGCCATGCGGCATGGTGACCCAAGGTGCATGTGCCACGAGCCTTGCAACATGGAGCACACAGATTCCGTCATCATGCTCCGCTGCGGCGGTTCGCTGGCTGCACCGCTGTAAGCTGACGCATCGTTGAGCTGAACTTGGGCTGGGGCCTGGCCAGCCAGCTTGGCCAGCCAGCTGGCCAGCCAGCTGGCCAGCCAGCGCCAGGCGTATGTCTGGAGCCGGTTTTGCGGAGAGCCAAGTCTCCAATCGCGCCATGCGATTGGTGCGAAAAAGCGCGGAGGCAAGCAACATATTTTTACCAGCCAGATGAGCCCTGGTGGAAGACTCTGGTGGGTTGCGTTTTCTTTCCGTGTTGTTTGACCCCTTGGAAAGAAGCAGGTGCAAGAGCCAAGGGGAGCTGCGAAAGCTTGACTTGCCGTGGCCGTTGAAGCCGAGATGCTGGTGTCCCAGCCCTGGCGGCTAATCTGGTGTGCCCGGCGGTTTTTCAGCCGCCAGCGCGGCGTGCTGCTGCGCTGGGATGAGCAGAGGGGCTTTGGCAAGGCGGGGAAGCGCACCGCGTGGCATCACGTCATGCCTGCCACATTGCAGATGAAGTTGCGTATATCGCTTCTTTTATTCAGTGCCAGGGCAGGCTGTACCGTACCATGTCCAACCACACTGTATCGCGTGATGTTGTGCCATAACACACTGTGCCATACAAGGTGCCATTTTCGCATGCAATGCGACATGAGACGAAACAACTGACTAGCCCAATTTTGTTAATGCCAAATGGCACCATGACATCAGACCCGAATATTGTAGACCAAATACGGTGCTGTGGAATCTTTCGGACCATCGATCGTCCACTGATTGCGCTTTGCTTCAGCTTTGCTGGTTTAGTCGGCCAGCTTCTGTGTGGCGTTTGGCTCGTATCCTGGGCAAACTGTTGTAGCTGACTGCCCAAAGCCTTGGAGGATTGGTGAAACAAGCTCCATTTGCGCGCTTTAGGTGTCTTGTAGTTTTGGTTGCGCTTGTGCGACGCTTGAACGACCGAAAACACAAGGCCACGAGGCCAGGTGGTGCTTCTTATTGCCAGATAGCGCAAAATTATGGGGGTTCCAACTTACAACGAGGCGAGGGTACGACGCAATAAATCTGCAAATGCGCAGGATGCTGCTGTAATCTCGGGTGCTGCTGCAGAGTTTGACGCGGAGAGCTGCGCAGGGTGCTGTTGCAAGGTCTGGCTGCTGCTAGAGAATGTGACTGAGATCTCTGTGGCGCGGAGTGCGGTTGCAGTCTGGCTTGCGGCATGCTTCAACTGAACTGCTGGGGAGTGTGTAGGGCGGTGTTGCGGGGCGGTGTTGCAGCGTGGTGTTGCAGGGTAGGGTGCTGCTAACGGTGGTCGCTGCTGCTTTTGCTGCAGCTGCTGGAATCGCACAGCGCTCTCTTGCGGGGCTTTGTTGGTGGCTGCTGCGTGGAGCGGTTGCGCAAGGCGCCGTTGAATGGTGTTGTCACAGGTCACAGGGTGCTGTTGACGGGTGCTTTGGTGAGAAGGACGTTGGCTGTTGCTGGTTGGCTGTTGGGCTTTGGGTGCTGGAGAGTGTTACAAGATTTGCATGCTTTGAAGGGTGGAGAGTGTCACGGAGAGCCTGGGTGCTGTTGGCTAAGGCTTGGGCAGAGGCCTGAACATTTCAATGTGTTTGTAAAGGCAACCGGCATCAGCATTCAGTGGCAGCATTTTGCAATTTGGAACCGCTGCGTCATTCGGCGGCGCAACATACAATGGAAGCGATCGCAGGCCCGTCTGTCTGCATTCCGACTGGGTCCTTCACCCATGAATCTGTAATCCGCACGTGACATTGCGCATTGCATTGCATCCCCAGAAAGAAAATCAAGTTGCTTAGAAAAAGAAGTGCTAAACTTCCGCAGCAAGTCGTAGCCACCATTTCTTTGCCTGCAAACTCCACGCTGGTATCATTTTAAAGTCGGGGCGCCACTTGCTTCAGCCTCGCAGGTCCAATGTTCAGATGGTCGCGAGCTCTTTGTGCACAAAAGCTATCTGACAGAAAAGATCCCCGTGGGCCGCGAAGTGGACTTCGAGGTTCGCTGGAACGAGGATAGGAAGCAGGACGCCAGATGGGCAACGAGTTCTGAAGTATGGGCATTCGATTGGCTGCCTGTCTCATGCAGGCTCAAACATGCATAGTTCGCATATATCAAGGGTATTGCAATAAACAACAACAAAAACAGCCACTTTGAAGGTTGGATGCTCGCAGAATTCTTGCGGTGGGACTGGAGGGATGCTGGGGATGCAATGCTGGTGAGACTGCACGGGTGGTGTGGGTATGACTCGGAATGCCATTCCTGTGCACGTTGTCTGTGTCTGCGATGTTGCTCCCCACTGGATTTGCAAAAGCAGGACTTGGGCATGGCCATAGCATGGAAACAGTTTTGCGGCCCAAAGGAATGCCAATCAATAAGGATGCGAAAATGGACAAAGCCATTGAAAGGTCAAAACGACCATGCATAGAGCTAAAGATACACCGTGTAGCTGTTCAAAAACTCAAAGGTAGGCAGTAGGCATGTTCTGCCATATTGGCTGTATGCAGTCTTTCATTCGTCTTTGAACGACAGTCTGAAATGCAAGAAACTTGGCAGAGCCCGTAGTGTCCATTCTCCTGCATTTGCCATTTTCCAGAGTGGAGCTTCCCGCACAGGCATTTGCGCAGGCTCACGTCGAAGCTTGCGAACACAAACTGACGCGCGCTCCAAGAAGAAAGGCCATGCAAAACTGCTTGCCAAGAAGCGCAGTCAACACCAAGCTCAGTTTTGTGCGTTATGCTGTGCTTCGTCTTCATCCACCCCAAGCCGGCCTTCGTCCGAAGAGTCTGAATGTTAGCCTACCCGCGTGGGGATGCCTCCAGTGTACAAGCGTGTGCCCCCAAGTTACTGTACTCAGACGCAAAACGAGAGCCGAGAGGGTAGGAAGACAACGGATGATAGGAGGTCCAAAGCCTTCACCAACATTGAACAGAGAGGCGCGTTCAACGACAATCCATGAAAAAAGATCTTCACCTTGATTGTCACTAGACAGAACTTGACTGGCTGGCTGGAAGACGGCTAAGAGTGCTAAGAGCTCAGCCAAAGCCATGGGCAAGGATGGACGGCTTTGGGTTTGGCTGCAGGATCACGCCATGGACGTGCGTCAGGCGGTCCAGCTGCCTGAGCTGGCAGGTGCGGCCAAGCAGTGTGTAATGGGAGCAAGGACAAGTGGCCATGGGGCAGAACCTATGGCTCCATTTTGGGGTGAGTAGCGGCGCCAGAGAGAGAGAGAGGGAGAGAGGAGAGGGAGTGGGTGTAGTGAGTGGGTGTAGTGAGTGGGAGACGTCTAGGCACACCTCTTTCTGAATTTGCCTCGGCCGTTTTGTTTGCAGCCTGTGCATTGAGCATGGCGGTTGCCTGATCCAGCCTAACATGCTCCCGGTGGGCACTTGGGGCCCAGAGGTCCAACTCACCCCGCCAAAGCCGTGTCGCCAGAGGACCTGCTGCAGGTGCGGAGGGGGGGGGGAAGGGGAGGTTTGACTTGGGAGGCTCCAGTATGTTCTCCAGGTTTATTTTGCCTATTTCAGCATTGCAATATGTTGGAGCTTGAACTTCTCTTTTGCTTCATTACTTTGGATACTGTAGAAGCTGGGCAGGTTGATTTTGAAACGGCGAGCAAAAGAGTGATCACAAACGCAAGCGCTGACTGTCTACTGCCCACCTCACGTGCCAAGATGGCAGAGTGGTTTTGAACCCGCATTCCTTCCTGCTCTTCCTCCTTGGTCTTGGGGCAGCCTGGAATGAAGAAAAGACGCGGCGATGCCAGGTTCAGCCCATCCAGCTGCCGCCTGATGCCACGGACCGGCAGCACTTGGAGTCGCTGACCTTGCAGAGCCCAGCTTAGGCAACAGTCAGTCCAAGGGGTGTGGATCGGGGGGGGGGGCTGACAGGACTGATGCCCAGCTTGTTTGTGATGATCCATGAACTAGATGCGTTCCGGAGAGAGAGACGGTGGCGAAGCCGAATGTGATAGCATGCCGATTCTTCTTATGGCCTCAGAGCAAAAAGGGACCTCCACAAAGGCGGCAGAGGCCATATGAGCTATATAGTTTACATTCTCTTGATTTGAGTCGGGGAGTCAGTGAGCACGAGCCGGAATGTTCTGGCTTCAAACAACTTGCAGTGGTTGCTCCCAGGATGGAGCAGCTTCGTCAGCAAGGCACGGCATGGCAATCTTTTTTTGCGCTTTTGCCGGGGCAGCCCTGCAAATCAAGCAGCCCTGTAATTAGAGCAGCACTTTGGTATGTTTACAGGCACGGCACGAGCTTTCTTAAGCTCATAGCGGCATTTATGCAAGTCCGATTCCACTAGGCGCTTGTATGCCTAGGATAGTGGTTGTCTCGGTCGCAGTTTGGAACGCTTTGTGCATTTCTAAAGTTGTCGTTTTGAGTAGCCTTGGACAGCTGCACACCTTGAGTGCATGTTTGAGCAAGCGGGAGGTTTATTGTTCTTGTTTTTCTCCGCTGTGCGTTTTGCCGGCGCCTTGCTTAGACTCGTAGACATATTTTTTGTTGTGCATGTCATTGATCTATAGTTAGTATAAATAAATATATATATATATATATATATATATATATATCAAAAGATATGTATATGGCTTAAAACATACGATAAAGTTTAGTAAAGCTGGAGAACCCATGCCAGCAGAGGATACGCACACCGCTCGACTATGCACGTTAGGCAATGCACGGGTGCCTGCCAAATGAAAAGCACACCGCGCTGGCTCAGCGCTACACCCACGCCTGCACACCGCTCAAGCGCAGCACTGCCTCCACGCCTGCCAACTGATGAGCGCCCGCGGTCAACCGCACCTCTTATCCACGCCTGCCAGATGATGGAGCACGCACCCACTTGTCGCAACTCGCTGGTCAAAAACGGCTTCTTCCTCGCAACCCACGCGAACCGCATGTCCAAGCCTGAGGAAGGGTGCTTGTTGGTGTTGCCCGGGGAGTGGATTTGCCTGAGAATTCCAAATGGAAACCCGTGTCTTTCATTGCAAATCACAAGCAACACGTGGGCCAGTGGGCCGCACATGAGCTCCTTCCTCGCTTGGGCGGCAGGCCTGCAAAGCCAGCAGCTCCTGGCGCAAAATCAGCAGCTTCTGGTCCAAAGCCAGCAGCTCCTGGTGCAGGGGCTTTTTGCTTTGATTCAGCAGCGGCTTGGCAACAAAGTTGCACGTCCCTTGCAGCTGTCATGACACCTGCGCTGCGACTGATGGCTTTCAAGGTGGCGTTCGATTGAATCATTGGGATGGATGGGAGCTAGACCTTGAAGCTGCGTCCCATCAGCAGTTGCGCATGTGGTTGCTGCTTCAAACTGTGATCGGAGGCAAAACGTTCAGAACGCCAATCTGGAGCGTGCACTCACTGCTTTAACCTCGAGAATGGAGCCGCAGGCCTGGCCCTCGAGCCAAATGTGTTGAAGCCTTGGACGTGCAGTGGGCAGACTTCACACACCCCAGGCAGTGCAGCAAAGTAAGGACCAGAAACCAGAGCGAACAACCATTTTTTAGGCCGAGTCTTGATCTGCTGCGTGCCCTGAGGTGCATGCAGACCCAGATCCAAGCGCAAACATGATCGGAGCCGCAACAGCAAGCACTAACATGGCAAATGCCGAGGCGGGAGTGTGTCTCTCTTTTGTTACCAAATGAGAATTGTACTCGTGGTGATGCGTTACGCTGGCCCCAGCCCTTAACCTGTAGCAAGTAGTGCGCATGTTTGCCGACTCATGTGGCCCCGGCAAGGCAGTCTTTGTTCTATTAGGCTTTTGCGGCCCCGGTATTTGTAATGTAAATGCGTGGCAGCGCCTGGCTGGTTTTTTTGTGGCGGGGACAACTGGTGGCATAAGAGCAGTCTTCTTTAAGAGTCCCTTGCCAGTTTCGAATGTCATAGCATGATTCGGTCGCCAGTTGCTGCAGTTGCCGGGCCTGAGGTGCCTGTAGCAGAGCCAAGCGCAAAGAAGACTGAAGCAGATGCCGGAACGGCAAGCACTGAAAAGGCCGATGGCGAGGAGGGAATCGATTTGCACATTCAGAGTCGGGCTCGCCAGGTTGCTTTTAGCGGTTGTAGGTAAGAGGTGGGTTGACAACGCTGTGGTGTGAGCTCTTGTGAGCCATTCTGGGCCACTGTGCCCAGATTGCAGGTGCAGAAGCCAGACGAGGGGGCGACTGCCAGCCGGAGCCAGCAGCAGGCGAAGTTGACCCGGACATGGTGCCAGAGCGACGCGCGCACAAGGAAAATGCCAAGTTGGGCGAGACTCAGCTTTTTGTCTTGCCAACTAACTTTGGCCCTTGCATACAATCGGCTTGCCTACTTCGCAGCAAGCGCGATCAAGTTTGCAGGTGCCAGAGGCAGCTGAAGAGGCTGCTGAAAGCGAGGTGCAACCGCAGGCAGAAGTTGATCCGGGCTTGGTTGTGCATGGCGTTTTGCCCATAGATTGGGCAGGTGATAGCGTTATACAGTTTACACTGTTCAAGCATTAAATAAGCGTTGCGCATGGCTTTGTTGCTGGGTCCTTTCTGCAGCAAGCTACGCTTTGTGTGAAGCGCCACTTGTGGTCCCGACAAGCCAGTCTTTGTTCCGCCAGGCTTGTGCGGCCTCGGTATTTTGCACCGAAAGCATCCTCTTGCGCTAGCTACTTTCTACTTGCTCTTTGAGAGCTTGCTTTGAGAAACTAGAGAACTTGCTCAGAGGAGCTTGCTCAGAGAAACTTGCTCAACGAACTTGCTCAAAGAACTTGCTCAGAGAAAAGAATCTTCTTGGAGAAACTGCTCATAGAAGCTTTCTTAGAGAAACTAGGTCAGAGGACTTGCTCAGAAAACATGCTTCTAAATTAAGGCCAAAGATTTCAGGCCGGGTGGGAACGTGTGCGCTGCTTGGGATGCCCCTCTGCCTATACCGGGGCTGCTCGCTCCTCAAAAGCTTGAGTGCTTTGCTACTTTTTAACATGCCCACACCACAATCTGCATACAGGTGGCGGCCGACACTGAACATCACGAGTGTTACTCTACTACGTAGCATTCGCGCGCGCTTTGCGCAGATGGGGCGCATGGCTCTTAAGAACTCGTGTGTTTTGCTACTATTTTTGCATACCCACGGAACCCTCTGCGGGTCAGCTCTCAAAGTAACTAGTGTGCTTTGCTACTTGTTTTCTGCCGTGGATCGGGGTCATCCTGGAAAAACTTGTGGAAAATGCATTTTCTTGCTACCCTCTGCGTGGATCGGGCAGGTCCGCCTGGATTACCCGCGGAACATGCAACTTGTTCTTTGCACGGAGCGGCTGCGCCCTGCTTGAAGACAGAAGCAACAAAGGGTCTCGGAAGATTTCAGGGTCTGAGCAGATGCAGGCAGCACATACGCGCTGCTTGTTTTCCCATTGGGCTGTCCCCGTCGAAAGCGCAAGAGCCACAAAGCATGAGAGTTCTTAACAATCGGGAGACCTGACTACTTTCTGCGCATCTCTGTGCTAGCTTGTTCGTCTTCACTTCTTACTAGTTGCTGCGCCGGCGTGCTCTTGCCTACATCTCGTAATTTTGCTTTGGGGCCACCTTTCTTCTATACTTGTGTGGTGGGACAAATGGTGGCATAAAAGCAGTCTTCTTTGAGAGTCCCATGCCAGGTTCGCATGTCGTAACATGATTCGGTCGCCAGTTGCTGCAGTTGCCGGGCCCGAGGTGCCTGTAGCAGAGCCAAGCGCAAAGAAGACTGAAGCAGATGCCGGAACGGCAAGCGCTGAAAAGGCCGATGGCGAGGCAGGAATCGATTTGCATATTCAGAGTCGGGCTCGCCAGGTTGCTTTTTAGCGGTTGTAGGTACAGAGGTGGGTTGACAACGCTGTGGTGTGAGCTCTTGTGAGCCATTCTGGGCCACTGTGTCCAGATTGCAGGTGCAGAAGCCAGACGAGGGGGCGACTGCCAGCCGGAGCCAGCAGCAGGCGAAGTTGACCCGGACATGGTGCCAGAGCGACGCGCGCGCACAAGGAAAATGCCAAGTTGGGCCAGACTCATCATTTCGGCTTGCCAACTAACTTTGGCCCTCGCATACAATTGCCTCGCTTACGTCGCAGCAAGCGCGATCAAGTTTGCAGGTGCCAGAGGCAGCTGAAGAGGCCGCTGAAAGCGAGGTGCAACCGCAGGCAGAAGTTGATCCGGGCTTGGTTGTGCATGTGATAGCGTTATACAGTTTACACTGTTCAAGCATTAGATATGTCTTATCAAGTCAAGCTGAGCATGGCTTTGTTGCTTGGTCCTTGTTGTGCTTGAGGGGATTTTCATTAGTTGAGGGGATAGCTTGCTGCTCTGTCGCTGGTTGGGTGTTGGGATCAGTGCATGATGCATTCAGGCCAAGATTGCGATGGCAATGTGAGGTGTTGGGCATGAAAGGCTAGCTGCAAGATCCGAAGTTTGAGCCGCATGCTTGCAAGATAGGCACTTGATCGTTGAAAGCATGCCCAACATATGGTAGCAACTTGTGCAGAAGCATGGCACGCAAAAGGATTGTATATAGTTGGTTGTGGGAGCGGGGGGGGGGAGGGCCAGGCAAAGGCTGTACCTTTCTGGCCTTTGTGAGTTGCCCTTTGTGAGTCACACTTATAGGAATAGCTATCTGCATGTATGCCTAAATTCTCATGCAGAAACACGCACACATATGTATCATTATATATATAAATATCTATGTCGATAGATGGGTTAATTTGGTCTTCATTCAATTCTTCCGGCATGCGACGGGGTGTTGGCTCTCGAGGCTGCAGCTGAGGCGCGGGCGGGAGAGGGGCCAGATTGGTTTGTGCATGTGGTTTCTTCGCATGGGCTTTCATGCGGGGTGCATGAAGCAAAGGGTTAGCTCAATAGATGTAGATTGTCTTGTGGAGGGTCCGATTAAGAAAGAATCCATGCTTTGCTCTTGGAGGGTTGGCCTTGCTTGTGAGAAGTGGGCCCTACGATTTAAGCTCATTGTTTTCTGCGCGGTTGGGACCGCACACCTGTTTGACAATTATTCAGGAGGGCCGTGGGAGCATTGGCTTGCTTCGTTGTTTGCGGTGCTTAAGTTTTGGCCAGCACACGGATCTGGTGTTGTTGCAATCAAATGTTTTTGTTTGTCTTGAGCTGATTTTGCGATATGCTTGCGTGACAAGTCAGGTGAGCAGGAGCGCGTGCAATTGTCCCTGGGCCAACTGGATTGTGAGACTAAAACGACAAAACCGCGGGCACAGGGGTGACATGGGTGACAGATGAATGGCATCGCGTGTGCCACCAGGGCATTTGGCGTCTCGCGGCTTAGCCACTGGCTCTTTTTCGGGCCATGGCCCGGCTCCTACGCGGGTTCTCCCGCCTCACGGTCGAGGAGCCGGGAGAGACGTGAAGGGCAGTGCTGGGCAGGGGGACTTGTTCAAGGCGGCGACGTTGCAAAGAACAGTAGAAGTGATCTTGAAAACAACACACTCAGAAAGAAGAATGAGGCTTCACCATGTCAAACCCAAAACATGGACAGACTCTTGAAGGTATCAGCCAAAAGCGCGGGCTGCGCGGGCTCCTGCCTTTGAATGGCTTGCACATTGCATGTGGGTTGCTCAGATTCTAGTGTGCTCATGTTAAAGCCCGCACGTCCGAGTCATTTCCAGGAGAGCGACAGCCCAAGAGGGAAGCGGCGCGGGCCCTGGCCATGGGGTGCGGGCCATGGCGTCATGGCCTTGGGAGCTGCTCAAGTGATGGATGCGGTGCATGGAAAAACATTCCGCAGCTGACTTTGTTAAGCGCGTTTCATGAATGAGTGCGCCCAGCTTTCCAACCAGCGTAGAGACACTGTCAGGCACTTTGCAACAAGACACATCGGTAATTTCTGGAGCGGACGCAGACATGCAAGGTCGCGTAGCTTATTGACAACACAGTAGCCCGTGTGCTAGCTGCCTATGGCATCGCGTACCCATGGAGCCATGGAGTCGGAGGCGTTCGAGCGAGCCGAGTGAAGAGGCAGAGGCCGAGGTTGAGGCAACGGTCGAGCAAAGCTACGCAGAGCCCAGCGAGGCGGAGGAGCGCTGGCGGCACGAGGTTTTGTCCAAGGCTGACAGCGAAGCCGGAGACTCAAGATCACCGAGCCCAGCCAAGGCGGCCTCTCAGAGCTTTGGGTCGGGTAATCTGCGCCTCAGCCTAGTGGAGCTGATTCATGAGCCAGGGGTTTTCTCGCGGCAGAGGAGCCCGAGCGTCGAGAGGAGCCCTAGCCTTAAGAGCTTCTCCAGCGAGGATGGGATGCTTGCGCCTTCTTTCTGCGAGGATGTTTTTCTTCCATTTCTTGGGGTTGGAGTTGGGGCCTTGGTTTCTAGCTGCCGAGATGCGGGGCCGGCGAAGCCGGTGGGCGGAAGTTCCGAATATATGAGAACAAAAGTTCTTTCTCTTTCGCTATCACTGTCTCGTTCTCTTTCTCTTCTTTCTGTTCTGAATCTCTTTCGCTTCTTACTCTTGCCTCAATTTTTTCTCTTCTGTCTCTTTCTTTGTTCCTTCCTTCCTTCCTTCCTCCCTCCCTCCCCTCCTTTCCTCCCTCCCTCCCTCCCTCCCTCCCTTCCTCTCTGCCTCCCTCCCTCCCTCCCCCTCCCTCCCTCCCTCCCTCCCTCCCTTCCTTCCTTCCTTCCTTCCTTCCTTCCTTCCTTCCTTCCTTCCTTCCTTCCTTCCTTCCTTCCCTTCCTTCCTTCCTCCCCTTCCTTCCTCCCTCCCTCCCTCCCCTCCTTCCTCCCTCCTCCCTCCCTCCCTCCCTTCCTTCCTTCCTTCCTTCCTTCCTTCCTTCCTTCCTTCCTTCCTTCCTTCCTTCCTTCCTTCCTTCCTTCCTTCCTTCCTTCCTTCCTTCCTTCCTTCCTTCCTTCCTTCCTTCCTTCCTTCCTTCCTTCCTTCCTTCCTTCCTTCACTCTGTGTCTCTTTCTTTCTCTCTTTCTCGATTCTCTCTTTCTCTCTTTCTCTCTTTCTGTCTTTCTTTCTTGCTTGCTTGCTTGCTTGCTTGCTTGCTTGCTTGCTTGCTTTCTTTTTCTTCTTTTCTTCTTTCTTTCTTTCTTTCTTTCTTTCTGTCTTTCTGTCTTTCTTTCTTTCTTTCTTTATTTCTTTCTTTTTGTCTTTCTTTCTGTCTTTCTTTCTTTATTTCTTTCTTCTTCTCTTTGTTCTTCTCTTTGTTCTTCTCTTTCTTCTGCTCTTTCTTCTTCTCTTTCTCTCTTTCCCTCGTTCTCTCTTTGTCTCTTTCTCTTTTGTTCTCTTTCTCTCTGTCCCTAGTTCTCTCCACTCTTTCTCTCTTTCTGTCTTTCTTTCTTTCTCTCTTTCTCTCCTTCTCTCTTTCTCTCCTTCTCTCTTTCTCTCCTTCTCTCCTTCTCTCATCTTTCTTTCTCTTTTTCTCTTTCTGTTTCTCTTTCGCGTTCTCTTTCTTTTTGATTTCATTAGCACACTACGAAATCAACCCTCTGCGGAGATCGGCGTGTTCGAGGTTAAAAAGCTGAGCACTTTACGATTTCTGATCTGTACGCGCGACCCTCTGCGGAGATTCGTGTGGTCGAGGTCAAAAAACTGAGGACACGTGACCCTCTGCGGAGATTCGTGTGGTCGAGGTTAAAAAGCTGAGGACCTTTTACGATTTCCGATCTGTACGCGCAACCCTCTGCGGAGATTCGTGTGGTCGAGGTTAAAAAACTGAGGATTGTTTTTTTACGTTTTCTGCGGTTCCCGCGCGACCCGCTCTCGCTTGCGGCACCGTGCGAATTTGCAAAGCGCCCGATGAACCCTCTGCGGGGATCGTGCGTGGCGAAGCTCTTGCTGTGGCGCCGTGCGAATTTGTTGCTTGCGGACTGGTCTTTGGAAGTTGTCGCGCGGTTTGCGCGCCTGCTCTCGGAGTCGCGCGGTCGCGGGTTCGATCCCCGCCTGGTCCGCAGCAGCTTTTCTAGACAGAAATCGCAACTTTCACGTGCAAACCTTTTACGTGCAACCGTAGTACGCGGAGTGCACCTCCGCAGCTCCGGCTGCAAAATCGCAACTTTTAAGTACAAAGGCGACGCGCAAAGTACATTCCGGCAGCTCTGGCATCACGTGCGTAGAGCAACTTGAGAGCATGTGCGCTCTGCGCAACTTGCACAGAGCAACTGCACAAAGCGTCATTGGACAGCGTCATCATGAGAGTCATTGTGCCGAGTGAGCGTTATTGCAAAGTGGTTTCTGCGTGAGCGGTCATCTTGCTCCTCTTGCTGTAGCTCCTCTTGCTGTAGCTAGTGGCTGTTTGTAGCTGACAGACTGCGCATCGAGCAAAAAACACGCGTGGGAATGATCACGGGGCTGTGATGCTTTCGGGCCAACCGTGGTCTAGTTTTTTCTTCTCTCTCTCTCTCTCTATTTCTGTCTTTCTCTCTCTTTTTTTTAGACGTTTTCTCCTGTTTTTTTCTGTTTATATCTTTCTCTCTTTTGGGGCAACCTCGTTGGAGATGTTCTGATCTTTCTGCCGCCGTAGCTGCTTTTATGTCCCTGTCACCCCGTATCGGCAAGTGAAAACTATCTACCTACCTGCCTATCTACTTGCCCTGTGTCCATCTGTGAATCAATCAGCCTGTCTATGCGTCTATCTAGCTAGCTATCTATTTGTGTATGTGCTTATTCCACTTCTCAAGCGGCAGTAACTCAATTTTTGTGTCTGTTTTGAGGAGCTCATGTGCGCTCGCAACCGCGGCCCGGGCCAGCACGCGGTGCAAGTAAGGCGGCGTCGGGTTCTAAAGCTCTGCTGTCGTTTCGCTCGAGTCTACGGAATCTTTGTTTCTATTCATCGATCTACCCAATCTCATTATTCTATCTGCCCGCACTTTCTATCTACCCATCTCTTTACTTAACACGTTCCCGGCTTCCCACCTAACCTACCTACCTACCTCCTATCGTCTATCTATCTATCTGCCTTTCCGTCAATCACTCAATCAATCAACCAATCAACCAATCTGTCTATCTATCTATCTATCTAGCTATCAAGCCGATCGAAGCTTTCTTTTTATTTTGAGTTTGTACTCACCTGCCATAAAATCTGCCCGACCTTGCGCAAGCGTCGTGCCTGTGCTTTTCGAGCATTTTTATTCCCCCGTCACAAGCACGTGCGTTTTGTCGTGTACTTATTCTTTTCTTGTCTTTAGTTGCCGTGCAATGGAAGTGATAACAAGTTGTCATGCATGGTTGTTGTATGCGCCGGGCATGACCGTTGCTCCAAATCCCCTTGCGATGAGGTGACATGCTGCCCGCCGCGCCAGGAGCCCCTGGAGCCCGCGGATCCGCCTGCGCCAGTGCAGTTGCCAGCGCAGTTGCTGCCGCCGACTTCTGCCGAGCCTGTGTTCTTGCCGAGTCAGGCTGGGAACGTTGCTATGTTCTGAAACCGGTGGTTTGCAGGTTGTTGGATAGAGTGAGTGGTCAGACTTGTATGTTGGCTTCACAGATTGCGGTCTGCCCATTCGACAAAAACCCGCTTTGAAGCAAACCCTGAGCTTGTGGAGGTTATTTCATGTTTCCGTTTCGCCCAACTTCGATTCGAACAAACCCTAGGCCTTGAGGTGGCTGAGGCGGTCCGCGTGTTGTTGATTGACTAAGAAGTTGTCATGAATGATTGTGGTATGGCAGTGCGAATTTCCGAGTGCGAATTTCCGAGTGCGCCGCGCATGAACGTTGCGGTCACCAAATCCCCTTGCGATGAAGTGACATGCTGCCCTGGCCGCGCCAGGGCTCAGTGCAGCCTGCGGACCCGCCCGCGCCAGCGAAGTTGCC